GACTGTGACCAGTGATAGTCATGTATATAGAGATTAGAAATGCATGTGAAAACGTCTCAATGTCAATAGGCTTGAAATGAATTTTTCTGTATGAAACTGTGTGTTTTGACAACGCAGTGGAGATCTTTTTTAAACGTTGAAACCTCATCTAATTTTATGTCTTATAGAGTTTATAATGAGTAAAAGATTATATAAGCGTAATAATTCATCTGTAACCCTAGAAATGTACAGCCAATTTTGAAAGAGATGTACCCTAGCTCAGAAAAATGTTATTGAATAGGTTAATGCTGTTGTAATGAAATGCTTCTTTTAATTAAAAGAAAAAAAAAGAAAAAAAAATGTAAGAGAATATTCCAGCTAAGGGTCAGCGTCGAAAGTGACTTACCTGAAACAACCGAAATAGCTTTCAAAGCTCTGAACACTCGGAAGGAACGCAGAGCTGACAGATTGATTTTGGTACCTGGAGAATAAGTTGCAATCCTACAAGACAAAACAGAGGGAGAACCTAGTCTTGCTCAGTCCCGCTGCCTTAGAGCACATTTCCAGGAAGGCCAGAGGAAGCACAGTGGGGGTACACCCACTGAGAGGAACTGCAGCCTCCCCGTTATCTCCAAACCTGGCAATATGCTGTTCAGTACTGTGGACTTCAAGGCTGTTCTCAGACCATCTTGGTATGTGTATACAGATGAGAGGATTTTGAAATCATCTGTGCAATTACGGCTGTATCCATAGCTAACAGAAATCCTCCCAAATGTTTATTAAGTGGCTGCCACGTACTAGTCCCCAATGCAGTGTCCCAGTACATATGGACCATTCACTTTCTAATATTTTTTAATTTTATTGACTCTCTCATCACTCAGGTGTCAAATTGGTGCCCTTTCCTTCAGGATGAACTTCAATAACCACCTCAAACTATCCACAACAGCTGACTCAAAATAGACCAGGGAGGTCAGGGAGATGACTCAGCATGTGAAAGTGCTAGCACGCAAGTAAACATGGAGAAACTCTTTGTAACCTCATAGCAGCCAGATACTTTATTTCCAGAGTCCTTGGTTCTTCCTACATGCTCTGACACCCTATGTTTTTACAGCCCCTCTCCTAGCACCCAGCCAACCATATCTTAATGACCATTAATCATCTCTTTTCCCCTCTGGACTGTGAGCTTCATGAAGGTGAGGACCATGGCTTTTGTTGTTTCATTTTTTATTTTTATGCCCTCTGTATCTTGACCAGAGCTGGGCTCATAAGAGGCCTCTGTTGGTTAGTGAATGAATGGAAACATGAATTGGTCTAGAGATGGGTTTGTGCCTAGAGGCCTCTGGACAGTGGCTGCACAGGGCTGTTCAGGGCCAGTCAGTGCCACACTCAGAGATCCAGGCAACCTTACACTACCTCAACCACTCATGTGGATGCTCACAGAGCCCTAAGGTAAGAAATGGGACTTCTTTCCCACCCCAAGTCTCTCCAACAAAAATCTTCAACATTCTTACGCTGTTCCAATGACAACGAAGTCCAGCCAGTTCCACGGATCTCGAAGGAAGGAAAACTCATCCAGGATGAAACCTCTTGCTAATATTTTAATCAAAGCTTCTAAAATATAAATCCCAGTGAAGATTAATCTATAAAACAAATCATTCCAAACAAGAATGTGACAAAGTATGAGAAAAGGGAAGAGCTGTGCTGGGGCTGCAATTTGGTGGGTAGAGTGCTCGCCTAGCATGCATGAAGCACAGGGTTCCAGCCCAGCACCACATAAACCAACTGTGGTTGTGGCTGCCTATAATCCCAGCACTGACTGGAGGTGGGCGTGTAGAAGCAGAGGGATAAGAAGTTCAAGGTCATCCTCAGCTACATAGCAAGTCCAAAGCCAGACTGGGATACACTAGATCCTGTCTCAAATAAACAAAACAAACAAAAAAGCAAACAACACATCTGTGGCCTTGATGTTTTATTCTATTTCACTGACATTTAACATTTTTGTTTTCCACAAACCAGAGTTTGGAGAGGCACACTCCTAGGATAAGGACATGGCCTATTACTAGAGTACTCGCCCAGCAAGACTTGAGTTTAATTTCTAATACTGTACTCCTCTTTCCCAAACAAGATAGGCAAGCTCTGGATAAGGTGGCAAATCTGCTTTTTCAATGCCTATGTTTATTGGCCATATTCTTGAGAACAGTTACAACCAACATGAAGCCTATTGTGGTTTGAATGTAAATACTTGGTCCTTAGCTGGTGGCCCTGTTTGGAAGGCTTTGGAGTAGGGCCTCAGTGGAAGTGGATCACTGGGGGGTGAGCCTTCAAGTTTTATAGCCTGGCCCCACTTTCTGTCCACTCTTCTTCCTGACTATGGATGCAATGTGACCAGTTGCCTCATGCTTGATGTTCCTGCCTCTGTGACCTCCGTACCACCAGGGACTGTACACTCAAATGGTAGCCAAAATAAACCCTTAAGTTGTTTTTGTCAGGCATGTTGTCACAGCCACATATAACTAATACACCACACACACACACACACACACACACACAGACACACACACACACACACACACAAAACCTTTGAAGGAATTCTGAAGGACATAAAAGATTTTAACAAATGAAAGACATGCCATGTTCTCAATGAAATGTCTTGTAAGACATCACATTCAAACTGGTGAGATGGCTCAGAGGGTAAGGTACTTGCTGCCAAGCCTGACAACCTTGATTCCTAGGACGCACATGGTGGAAGGAGAGAACAAACTCCTGGGAATTGTCCTCTGGCCTCAACGCCCTTTTCTGGCCTCCTTGATTACCTGCATTCATATGCATACACTCATACTCAGATACACATAGATACACACATAATTAAAATAAGAAGAAAGTACTTAAAATCTAGACACAAAAATGTGTATTTAGAGGGGAGGAGTTGGAGGTGGATATAATCTAAATGACCTGTATTCCTCTATGAAATTGCCAAAGAATATGTAATTTTAAAAAAATTTTGTGTTGCAAAGAAAAAATTTTAAAGACTCCTCTAAAGACAACTGTAAAAAAAATGTACAAAAATAAAACAGATTCTTCAGCATTTCCTCCTTCAGCTCTTCCTCCATCTATCCTACTGCCCCCTACTCCTCTCCAATATAATACAGCAATTTTAAAATGTTTATTTATTTCTTATGTGTCTGAGTGTTTTGCCTACATCTATGTAAATACACCCATGTGTGCAATGAACACAGAGGTCAGAGAGGGCGTTGGATCTCCTGAACTGTAGTTACGGACAGTTGTGAGCTGCTATGTGGGTGCTGGAAACGGAACCCAAGTCCTCTGCAAGAACACACAGTGCTCTTAACCACTGAGCCATCTCTCCAGCCCAGTAATATAGTAATTCTTTTAAGCATGTTTTTTTTTTCTTTTTTTGAAACAGGATATCATGTAGCCCAAATTGACCTTGAATTTGATATATAACTGAGGATAACCTTGAACTCTAATCCTCCTGCCTCTCCCTCCCAAGTGCTGAGACTACAGGCGTTTGCTACCACATCCAGTTTATATAGTGCTGAGGATCAAACCCAGGACCTCATGCATGTGAGACAAGCACTCTACCAACTGAGTCAGATCTCCAGTCCCTCAAATATATGTATTAAAAAAACTCTAGGGCATATAAATGCAGGGAAAATACTCACTCAGCAACGTCTGTGTCTGAATTTTTGTTCCCATTATGAGCCATGAACCCACAGTTGATAATCACGGTGCAAATGATGAACATGCTAAACAGCATGATCAGCATCCATTAAGGTCCATACACAGCAGAATGCAGGTGTCAGCAGGGACTGTGGTGGAGATTGTGACTGTGATGGAGACCTCAGAGCTGCTTTCCCATGGGTGCATCTATTTTCTGTGAGAGTTGACTGAGAACAACCTAGGCCTACCCCTTCCTCTGAGACAGTTTCCTGCTGAATAGCAGTCTCCTCACCCAGAGAGCTGCATCTTCTTTCTGGTACAAACTCTAGCCCTGAGATGGTGATGTAGCTCCATTGGTAGAGTACTTGTCTAGCATGCACTAGAACCCTGGGTTGGATCCTCAGGACTGCTTCAACCAGATCTAGTGGCCCACATCCATAATCACAGCACTGGGGAGGTGCAGACAGGATGATTAGGAGTTCAAGGTCATCCTTGGCACATAGAGAGTCCAAGGCCAGCCTGGGCTACATTAGACTCTATCTCAAAAAAAAAAAAAAAAAAAAAAAAAAAAGTGTGCCTCTGCAACTCTGGTGCTATGTGTGTTCCAGAAACCTCTTATACAGTCAGGCTCAGCTGACTTAGCTGAGACTGAAGTCTTGCTTAATTCTTCTCTCCCCATCACCTGCAGTGCTGAGGGACAAACCCAGGACCTCCTGCATGCTAGGCAAATGCTTTACCCTGGAATACAATTCCAGCCCACTTAGCCCTTCCGCTTAACCACCCTGCTTCCCTTCCTCCTGCAGAGAGCACTTCTCTGCAAAACCGCTTAACCTGAGTCCCCACCACAGGCCGTTTCCAGGGAACCAACCTAAATAGTCATTACCATTCTCAGCAGCATCGCCATGTGCACCTATCCACACTGCTTTCCCCTCCCCTGGTCTAAAATGGTCTCATCTGTCCTCCACCCCACAATAACAAGCACACTCAGAAATGCTGAATAATTTCTAATTGTCTTTATCCTTTAAACTTGAAGCCACAACAAATTCTGCATCTTAAAAGTATGGGAAGTCCTATGTGGCTAAGCTGCTGGCCACAGGAAGGGGGTAGATAGGGTTAAACAGCCTATACTCCCCTTCTAAGAGGCAGAGATTTCTCACTACATCATTTTTGCCTAGGAGGAATATAGGACTAGCCTTGCTGGAGATGGTTGTTATGTGTGTATGTGTGTGGTGTGTTTGTATATGTGGTATGTGTATGTATGGTATGTATGTATGTATGCATGGTCCCATGTGTGGGAGTAGAAGTGCGCATGTGTACATGCGTGGAGAGACCATAGGTTAATGATGGGTGTCTCTTCAGTTGATTTCCACCTTATATATTGAGGCAGGGTCTCAATTAAACCCAGAGATCATCCTTTGGGCTAATCTAGCTTGCCAGCTTGCTCCAGGATCCCTGAGCTAGGATGATAGGCTGCCAAGACCACCCAACATTCACTGGGTGCTGGGAATCTGAACTCCAGACATCACACTCATACTTCACCTGCTAATCCATCTCCCCAGCCCTGAGGTCCTTTGCTTATTTGTTTGGGCTTTGTTTGGGGGTTTTGTTTCTGTTTTTCTTTGAGACAAGATCTCACTACATAACTCTGACTGGCCTGATATCTGTAAACCAGGCTGGCCTCATTGTCACAGAGCTCCACCTGCCTCTGCCTCCTGAGTGCTAGAATAGGTGTGCACCACTATGCCTGGTGGCTCAAGGTTTTGTTTTTCAAGAAAAGATGGAAATATGGACTGTCCATGTTAGAAAATGTCTCTGAATTATACCAAATACTGTGTGGACTACACTTGTCAGTTCAGCGTGCTACACAGGCTACCAATAGAGCCCTCCTTCTGTATCCACTTAGATGCCCCTTCTCCTCCTGGAAGCTTCCTTGATGCCTCCCCAGCTCCATAGCACCTCCTGGTCCATCTGATGCTTCTGTACCATGAGCTCACATGCCTATTGGTCTATATCCTGCAGCTGAGGATCCCAGAGCAAGGCCATACCCTGTTCACACCCCATGCCCCCGCACAGTGCTAGACACACCCCAGAAGCACTCCAGGAACAATGAATATTGGCTTCCACTCAATACACTGGGGCTGGTCACTTAATAGGAAGGAATCCATGCCCAATACTGTAAACCTAGCCAAATACCCATGAATGGAGAGGTCCTAGACCCAACCACTGCTGCCATTTTCCTAAACCAATGTAATTTCTTACTATATTCTAAATACCCACAGGTAAATATAGCTCTCACCACTCAGCAAAGCTCCTTTTTGTAACAGATGAAGACCATTACAAAGTTCCACAACTGGTCCAAATGCAGAGAATAAGCAACTGTGGTGTGCCTAGCCCTAACTGATATATCTACAGTACAACCCCTATACCTAAAGCTCAGGAAACATTACAGAAGAGAAAAATAGAAAGATTATAAGAGATAGAGGGCCGGGGCTGAACAGATGGCTCAGTGGGTAAGAGTACTGGCTGCTCTTGCAGAGGACCCAGGTTCAATTCCCAGCACCCACATGGCAGCTAACAACTGTCTTAACTCCAGTTCCAGGTAAATCTGACAACCTTTTCTGACTTCTGCAGGCATTGCATGATACAGGTGCACTTATTCACATGTAGGCAATACACTCATACACATAAAATAATAATAATAATAATAATATAAAAGTAATAATAATAATAATAAGTAAAGATATTTAAAAAGAGATAGAGGACCAGGACACCAACCCATGAAATCTCCACAACATGGTTGCCTAAACAAGGCCTATGCAATGACAACACCAGCTGACATGCTAACGTGGATGGAAGAAATTTCACAGGGTCCCTCCCATCTCTAGATGCAGAGCTACAGGCAATCAATGATGCTGAGAGGGGAAGAGTAAGCTTTCTCCAGGGATGAGCTCCCTGATAGGTCATTCAATCCCAAGTGGTCATCCCTAAACACATATACATATATACACACTGGCATGTTCTCAGATAGGGACTGACCATGATACCCAGGCCCAGAGATAAGAGATTATATATATATATATTATACAGGTTTATATATATATTATATATATATATATGTGTGTGTGTGTGTGTGTATGTGTGTACATATCAAAGAAGATATCAAGAAATTCAGAAGGACTAGGGGGCATGAGAAGAGTTGAAGGGGGAGGAGAATTGAAATTGATACAAATATAGTATTTGTGTATGAAATTCTCAAAAAATTAAAAAAGAAAGAAAGAAACTGTGGCTGGAGCTGGGATTAGGTTGGTAGAGTGCTAGCCTCACATGCTGAAGCCGTGGGTTCCATATTCCCAGCATTACACAAAATAGGGTGTAGTGATGCACACTTGTAATCCTAGCACTTAGGAAACAGATACAGGAGAATCAGAAGTTCAAGGCCATCTTCTGCTACATATCAATTCTGAGGCCAACCTGGGGTACAGGAGTCCCTGACTGAAAAAATAATGATAAAAGTAAACCCGTAATCCCCTGGGGCTCATACACGTTTCCTAATCTTGAGGAAAGGATATGAATGGACCGAGATTCTAATGGCTAAACTCCTGACTGGATTGAAAGGCCCCAGAACAAACAAGGCCCGTCTGGCACTGAAGCGATAGATCGTTCTCTTCTTGTTCAGCACCATAAATGTCTGCAAAGAAAATAAATATACATGGATTAATCACAGCATCAAAACAGACTTATGAGGTACTCGTTGAGAGAAAATTCTAGGGAACCAGGTCTTGAGTCCTAACTGATAACTGAAGCCTCTGGTGGCAGAATTATCATTCTGAAGCCCAAAGTACTGTCTAGTTAGATACCCTGGAAGGCCAACGGCTCTCACTACATGGCCAGAGTCACAGGATTAGTATTGAGCTGTGGGATATTTACACTAAAGGACATTCTGGAGAGCATGGCTCTGAAACCATAGGAAACAGGGGCACAGAGTCATACCTGGGCAAAGAAGCTTTTAACACTGATCTTCACAGTATGAATCTGTGGAGACAGCACTCAAAGGAGCGTGAATGGAGACTGAATTTGAACATTCACACGTAGTGGGTTATTATAGACTGAATAAAAAGGAGAAAGTGACCTGAGCCCCAGAACTCAACTCTCTCTGTTTCCTGACTGTGGACCAATGTGACCAGCTGCCTCACACTCCAGCACCATGCCTTCCCTGCCTGATGGACTGCATCCTCCATAGTATAAATCCAAGTAAGCTCATCTGCCCTTAAGTTGCCTCTTATCTGGTACTTGATCATAGATCACAGCAACAAGAATAACTAATACACCAAGCTTCTCGCTCTCTTATCCTTACACACAAGCAGGACAAACTTGCCTGTGGTTCTTAGCTAAGGAAAACAGGTGGGTACTGCCCCTGTGGAAAGCATTTGAAAATGCCTGGGTGTTTTGGGTTATCTGTCATAGTGATGGGGACCCTACTGGCACTTAGCAGGTAGGTCCACAGACACTAAACACTTGCCACATGATGAGCCTTGTCCACTAGCATGTCCACAGGGCTCCACTGAAGAACAGCAAGTTGTGTCTGCTTTTCCCCAGCATGTATGTGTCCTTGAGCTCTGGGAACAAGGCAGCCCTTGAATAGCGGCTTGCCACTCATTAGCTAACACCATCTGCCCCAGCCAGACTTCCATTTAACCATCTGGCTGTTCTCTGATCTACCCCAAAACTGACAGTCAACAAATCCTTCACAGAGCATAGGCTGTTTCCTGACGCCCATTCTATTGCTCCTCTGAAATTTTCAAATAGTCCCCCTTGGCCCCCACTTGACCATGGAGTCTGGAATGTTCTCAGATAAGGACAGATCATGATATCCAGGCCCAAAGATAGAAGAAAAGATGCAGCCTTGGCTCTATAGAATGTCAACCATTGCAGCCATCTGCCTTCCTTCAGTGAGCTGCTAGAACATACTGGCCTGGAGGCCCTCTGCCTGCAGAGGAAAGCATGGGCAGAGTATATGTCTTTCCCTGCATAGCAATATGAAACAGTCCACGGGGTTCCTTCAGAGCTAGGAACCCAGGGGCCTATGACTTGTCTAGAGGACTCTGTGCTCTTCCTTTAAGTAAGCAAATAATTTAGAGCAGAGAGCAAACTTCTTTTTGAGACTATCACCCAGCTGATGGGTGGGACAATACAATTCTGCTCCTGTACTCTGACTTTATTGATAGTTCTCACTGCTTTAAATATTTTAGCTAATGGTACATTTAACAACACTTGCCAGGGCTTTAATGATAAGGATAGGGACAAGTTCCTCCTGCTTGCTTGCTGACACGTTTCCACCTCTTCCCCCTATAGTTCTTCAAATAGGAGCCTCTAAATGAAGGAAGTGGTCCAAGTGGCCAGGAACTAAAGAGCCCTGGAGTTTGGGGTCCAGCTGTCTGACCAGCTAAGCTTCGGTTTCCTCATCTGTAAGGTGAAGTGCTAACAGTGACCATACATACCTCACATCATTGTTAAGCAAATGCCATATGAGATCATGGGTGTGCAGAACTCAAAGCAAATGTCCTGCCTTCTGATTCAAAGGAGACCCATAAGTCAGGCCGCAGCTTCACATGCTGCTGACTCCTGGAGGTCAGGCTCTGGTCCAGCCTGGGTGGGTGTTTTAGGACCATTGCCTCTTGGCCTAGGTCTTTCCTTTGAATCAGAAGGAGGATTCTCCCAATCAACTCTTCTCCAACTGTTCCTCCAAAAAGCACCTAGAATTCTGTGGCATAAGAAGGAAGTCAAGAGCACTTTTTCTCTGTCATCTCTCTTTCCTTTGCTTACTCTTTCTGCATGTACTCCCCTTTCCTCTAAACACTCTATCCTCGTTTGGTCTGGCAACTCTAATATTCCTAGTTTAAGGACATGCACCCAGGTAACCTCCCTTTGAAAGGTTGGTTTTTTCATGGGTGTTAGCAAAAGATGCTTTAGCTTCAGTTACTCTATAAATTTCCCCAAATTCTGAGCCTCCTTCCCTGCCCACCTTACTCTGATGAGGCGGACTTTCCATCTTCTGCTGGGCCACACAGGAAGATAATGATGGAAAGTCTTCTGGTCTTTTAAAGGGGGAATCATGTACATGGGAGTGGCTGCAGAGCCCAGGCTTTCAAGGAGCCAAGAAGAGCCTAGAATTCACATTTCCTTACTCTGGAGTCTATTAAAGGAATTTTGCTAGATTTCCCGAAAAAAATTATATCTAGGAACGGTGAGCTGGCTCTGTGGGTGAAGAGCCTGGCAAGTCTGATGACCTGAGTTCAATTCCTGGGACCCATATGGTGGAAGGAAAGAACAAACTTCCTATAATTGTCTTCTGAGCTCCAGACACATGCCACGGTACATGCATGCCCACATACATGCACACACGAAATAAATAAACTCAATAAAATAAACAGAATTACATTTAAGTAGATAAAACATCAAGGCTTCCATATATTTATGTGGGATTTGCATATCATTTGCATGTGCCCAATTGATTAACATGTACTTAGCCTTCATTTATTGAGCTCTTACTCTGCATCAATCATTGGTTTGGCCTTCATTAATCTCAATTAACGGCCTAGGAAGCATATTGTCCAAAGGTTTTTTTTTAAGATTATTTTTATGTGTATCTGTGTGTGCTACATGAGTTTATGTGCACCACATGCATACAAGTGCTCATGGAGGCCAGAAGGGGGCCTTGGATCCCCTAAACCAGGAGTTAGTTGGTTATGAGCTGCCATGAGGGTGTTGGGAACCAAATCTGAGTCCTCTGCAAGAGCAACAAGTGTTCTTAACAACTGAACCATCTCTCCAGCCCCTGTCCAAAAGTTTTGAAGGTAAAAATCTTACTGAAATGGGCATACATGTACAGTGCTATTAATGGTTGACATCAGCATGATTTATAGTTTATAAAGTGCTTCCACAGTATGTCTGTGCCCTAAGGTAGGAAAACCAGAAGTTATTCCCATTTTACAGATTAGGATGTGAGGCTCTGTGAGGTGATTTGTCTGAAGTCATGAAGCCAGTCTCCTGCAGTGGCCTGCACCTCCCTTCTCTGACTGCTAATGCTCTTTCCAGGCATAAGTATTTCCTTAGTTCTCCTTCCAACCTTTCTGTAGACTCATCCCCATCTTCTTCCTCAATACATGCATTAGAGAGAGAAGGTGAGGGCTGAAGTTGGTTCTTGGGACTACAAAAGCAATGACAAGGGTAACCGCAAGGAGAGATGCTGTCTCTGCCTTCTATAGACCCTTGTAATGCAGTCATGAGTGCTGAGTGGGAGTATCCCACCTTCCCATGCATGTACCTTATGGTTTCTGTAGAAGGGGTCCAAGTCTTCCAGAGGCTTTGCTATCAGCTCTCGGGGAATGTCTCCATAAAGCTTTGGTAACTTCCTGGAGGCCTTTAGGTCCAGCTGTGGCCGAGGATGGGGCTCGACTACTGTCTTGTCTTTGGACTTCTTTTTCTCCTTCTGGATGGCAAGCCGCTTCTCAATGGCGGCCAGAGAGTCAGAAGTGAAGGGACGGAAATTCCGCTCATCTGGGAAGATCATTGGGTAGTACCTGTCCTCCATTTCCACCCTGGAAACAGAAACATGCTGCAGAAACTCACAGAGCACTCAGAAGGGAGAATTATGCAGCCTGGTCTGGGGTTCACTCTCAAAGGACGGGGATCCGCAGGAACCAAGGCTGAGGTTGAGGAGGCATGGGTATCAGCTATCCGTGGGTCAGATCAGAAGGGACCACTGAGTAGAAACACTGAGCATGGAATTGATAGGTGACAGAACAGATAGGGCACTTTCCATTATGAGAGCACATTTGTTCTTCACATTATAGAAAGCAGTCTACATGTACATATTGCAAGTAACCCAGCACACACACACACCCCACACACTTTAATGGTCTGGGTCTGTGGCTCAGTGAAAGGATACAGAAACAGAGTAGATGAACTTGCCAAGCAAGAGGGAAAGCAAGCAGGCAAAAGACAAAAGGGAAAAAACAAACAAACAAACAAACAAACTAAAACTTTACCCAAGATGTAATCCAAATGGTGACTTGGAAGGGACACGAGACACTGAGGCCTTTGTGTATGTAAATCCCAGCTACACAGATAGGGATGACAATGAGGAAAGACTACAGGAGGTCAGGAGGTCATAGAGAGAGAGCACTATGAATCTTAGAGACAAGATTGACCTACTGACCAGAGAGGCAAGACTAAACTTTGGAAAGACTGACTGCCTTTTTTCCACTTCCTATATCATCTGCTGGCTGAAGATGAGATGGACAGCAGATCTCTGTTAATCCTCTGTCTTCTCAGATTACGTCCTCTCTAAATAAAGCACAGCTTCAAGATTCAATTCCCATCTCTGCTCATTGGTGCCTTTAGTGAAAAACAGCACAAACCGAGTATTCTGGTTATAAAATGACCAAGCAAGACATCATACCTAGAGGCCCTGGACATACGTGGGAAGCTGAGTTTAGAAACACGTGAGCAAAAGAAGCCCAGTCTAGAGGATAGACACCCAGGCATTTAGAATAACACAGGGCAAACTGCTGCCAGGAGCAGAGAAGTGACCCCCATGCTACAGGCAGGAGGGGAAGAATGGGAGTGGGCCAGAGCCACGGGGTGCAAAAGCAAAGCTCTCTTTTGCATGAGCCTCTTTTCACATTTGGTCAGCAAGGTTCTTAAACTGTGGTGGAATGGAATCAAAAGGGCCACAGACGTGAACACCAGCACTAACACCTGTGATCCTAATCAGCTCTCTAACGTCTGGCAGCCAGACCTGGCAAAGTGAGGCACAGGGAAGCAGAAACAATTCCCCAAAGCTGACAAGGTCACTCTGCCATAGCACAATAACTTCTGCAGGGACTTCCTCCAGAAGTCTGGGAAAGCTCCAGAGCTAAAACTAGATCTTGAGCAGAAGCAGTAGCGCTCAGTTGAATGCCTTTAAACCCTGTGCCAGGAACCCTCTCCTTTTTTATTATTTATTTTTATTTTATGTGTATGAGTGTTTCGTCTGCACATATGTAAGTGCACCTATGTGTGCATGCCCACAGAGGCCAGAAGAGGATGTCAGATTCCCTGGAACTGGAGTTACATACAGTTGTTAGCTGCCATATGGGTACTGGAAAGTGAACCCAGGTCTTCTGCAATGGCAGCCGAGACTCTTAACCACTGAACCATCTTTCCAACTCTGCCCCTGCCCTCTTATTCACTTAATGTGAATCTAGGATCAGTTCTCCCACCACGCCAGGGAATTACAGTAAACATCCATCACCCCACTGGTTTGTTCATTCATTAACTATATGCCCATGGTTTCCTCCAGGCATGGTGCTAAGTACTAATGTGGGATTGTGGTCCCTTCCTCCTGATTTTGAACTTAGGTCTCCAGGTGTATTTGTCGGGGTTGCCTAGAGGAACAGAACTGATAGAATGAATGTATATATAGAGACATATGTATATCTAAAGAATTCATTAAATCAGCTTATGAAGAAATAGGAACAACAGCTATCTCATACCCAAGAGGCTGAGAACCTGAGTTGCTGGATCCTTGACGCTGGGTGCCTCAACAGCTGGCGTTTTCCCATAGCGGCTGTCCCACACTGGAGAGGTTGAGAACTCAGTAATTGTTCAGTCCAGCAGTCCCAATCTGGCACCGAAAACCTGGAGGATTCCAGGAGAGCTGCTGGACCTCAGTCAACAACAGAATACTGGAAACACCAGTTCTGATGCCAGCAAAGGAAACAGCAACAGTAGCAGCAGCAGGATAAATCAACTTGGCAATGAGAGGGAAGACCCGACAAGCAAAAGGTGAATGATCTTTCTTCTGCCATGCCCCTTTTATCTGGGCCGTCACCACATTTGGAGTGGGTCTTCCCACATCAAAACAGCAGTCAAGAAAATACCTCAGGTAAGCCTCCCTACTCAGGTGATTCTGATTTGTGGTAAGTTGACATTAAAACCAACCATCACATCTGGTATAGGAGAGGAAACAGATGAACACAGGAAGTTATGATAGAGTGGGACCAGTGCATAAGAAAGACGTGACTAGTTTAGGGAACACAGGGATGATCCCTGTGATGGTTAATCTTGATTCAACTTGACTGGAGTTGGAATCAACTAAAAGCAGGCCACTGGGCACGCCTCTGGGGGATTTTCTTGATCAGATTGTTTGAAGTGGGACGATCCAACTCTAAAAGTGGGAAACACCTTCTGGTGGCCGTTCAGAACATGGAAAAATAAAGGGTTATTTTGCCTTTTGCCTGCTTGCCTTCACTCTCACTGGCAAGCCCATGTATCCTGTTGCTATATTTCCCTCCCTGATCTAAGGGCCCAGCTTTGGCTTCCAAGATGGACTGAAGACCAGCAGCTCTCCAGGAATCCTCCAGGCCTTCGGTGCCAGATTGGGACTGCTGAGACATCTAGCCTCACGGACTGAGCAACTACCAGGTTTTCAGCCATCTTTGGACTATCCAGACCATATCTAATAAACCCCCTTTTTAATACAGTCATTCTTTTGTTCTGTTCCTCTGCAGAACACTGACTGATGCAGTCCCCAAAGATATATCTAAATTAGAACCTAAAAAGGCCTAAGACTTAGACAAGGGAACAGGAAAGCCAAAGGGATGGTACAGGGAGAACAAACAGCATGTATAGGCACACTCTGGTGAAGAAGAATACAGTGTCCAGCAACCAATTCTGTTATCCAGTAGCAAAGGCTTCATGGAATGGAATGGAATGGCCCAGAATGCTCTAGATAGCAGAGTATGTGAAGAGTTTGGTAAAGACCATGGACTCCACCCAAGGGGAAAGGAGAGTTGCTAGAGGTTGGGATTTTCAATGTTATTATTATCATCATTGGTATTACAGAGGAACAACACTATCAGGTTTTTGTTTGTATCCCTCTCCTCTAATTTGCTTTCTGTTGCTGTGATAGAGCAATGATCAGAACCAACTTGAAGGAGTAAAGGGTTTATTTCAGCTTACTACTCCCAGGTCACAATCTACCACTGAAAGAAGTCAGGGAAGGAACCTGGAAAGAGGAACTGAAGCAGAGACCATGGAGGATGCTGTTTACTGACTTGAGTCCCCCTGACTTGCCCAGTTTCATTTCTTATACAGCCAGGCCCAACTGCCCACAGATGGCACCTCCCACAGTGATGAGGATTGACAAGGCTTGAGATACAAGAGTCGGGAGGCAGAAAACTAGAAGCAGAGAGCCGAGGTGGGAAACTATTCATCAAATCAGAGCACAGAGGGTGACTCCATGGGATGGAGGACTTCAGCATTGTTTAAGAACAGCCTTACAAAGTTCTACAACTGCTCAAACACAGAGAATAAGTGATGTTGAGGTGCCCAGCCTTAAGTGACACATCTAGAATCCAACCTCTACACTTAAGGCTCAAGGAGCATTGTTGAAGATGGGGCAGAAAGAATGTAAGAGCCAAAGGGACAAGACACCTGCTGATACTTAATGCATTCTATGCATGGTAGGGAAGCTGCACCATGAAATCCCCACAGTATAGGAGTCTAACGAAATCTTCATAATGACAAAACCAGTTGACATGTCGAGGTGGATGGAAGTAATTTTATGGGGTCCCATCTCAAGACAAACAATCAATGGATGCTGAGATTGGGAGAATCAGTTTTCTCCAGGGACAAGCTCCATGAGAAGTTACATAATCCCAGGTAGGCAGTCCTAAACACAGGTACACAAGAGCACCACTAAATGAATTCAGTGCATTAAATATAAATATGTATATATGTAATATGTGTATATTTATAGATGTATGTCTGTATATGTAGAAACAATAAAGAAGAGAACAAGAAATCAAGAGAGAGTGGGACGTATGGCAGGAGTTGGAGGGGGACTGAGAGGAATGGAAATAATGCAAAGACAATACTCAAGTTCTCAAAAATGAAATTCTCAAAAATAAAGTTTTTTTAAAAAGGACAGTTTTAATAAGGGAGAGTTTTGAGAGATGGCATGTCAAGGTTCCTGGCCAGGGCAGCTTGGTCGACAGGGGTGCTGCTCACTGAGATAGCGCCACAGAAGAAAGAAGTTTGAACGATATATTCAACTTAAGGCACATGATTTCACAGCTGTGCAGGGGACTTGCATGTGGTGAGAACCTGCAAACACTTGGAAACAAGAAAATCACAGTTCACACATGATAGACTCTGGAAACAGCCTGAAAGAAAAAATACAATCAAAACCTCTCTTGAAAATCCCATAGGATGGAATATTGAACAGACACCCCAACTCACTGCTTAGCAAATTCAGTACAGTCAGCTTTTCTTCCAATGTCAGTACCAGATGCTCTTCTGGTATGCCCTAAATGTGGGTCATGATAAAGGTATTGCTTTTTTTTGTCTGCTGTCTGTCTTGTTGTTGTTGTTGTTGTTGTTGGTTTGTTTGAGCCTGGCTTCTTGTACCTTAGGCTGACCCAAACTTAATATGTTGCCAAGGATGACCTTGAACTTCTGATCCTCCTCCCTCTACCACTCTAGTGCTGGGATTAGAAGTTTCTACTACCATGCCCAACTTTATATGGTGGTGGGGATGGACCCCAA